TCGCGTCAGCTTCTTCTATACCTCGTCTTGCTATACGTCGCCTCTTTCGAAACAACTCTTGTCTATTTCTTGTGATAATAAACCACACAGCAAAAAACAAGCAAACGATCGCTTTCACATCTCCATTGTTGTGTCGCATTGAAGATGACGTCACGGCAGTTTTAAGCAGCGTCGCTCCGCCTACACTGTTACTATAGATACTGACCCGGTTCCTAAACTGTAATGGAAACGCGCCACAAAGTGAGCTGGTCCTAACGAGGCCGGGCGCGGCCAAAGGAGGCCGAGCGGGGCCGAGCGAGGCTGTGTAGTGGAAACGCGGCAAAAGAGGCTCTGGAGTCAGCAGCAGGTCTGAGAGAGTGAAGGCTTCCTGGATTGCCTCCTTTAATGACAGGCCCTGGCTACCTTCTTATGTTCACATATGGAAATAAAACACTGATAGAAAAATATAATATCTTTGATAATTCACTATAACTAAGTTCTAAATGTGTCATCTGTTAAGATTTTGAATTAAGACCAGAATTGAATAAATGAATACATTATTTCTGATAGCAGTATGTGAAATTAAATCTGTAGCTATATTGTAAACTCTACTTGTATCTTATCGGTTCATTAGTTACAAAAAACTCTTCTCTGGTTCTGGCAGAAACAGTTCTTTCTGAAATGTGTTGGGACACTTGGATGTATCCCTTTTAGTATGATAATTAGCTTGTTAGCATTAGCCAGACAGCATTGTGTGACTTGTTGAACTGGTTTACCTGCATGTGTGGGTGTAGGTATTCCTTTTATTATGATAATAGGCTAAGCCAGGTAGTGTTGTGTGTCTTAAGTGTTCAATGCAAATAGGATTCAGATACTTGTTGCATCGGGACACCTGGAAGGGGGGGGGTGCATGCATTCCTTTTAGTATGATAATAGGCTAAGCCAGACAGAATTAACACTTGTCCCACCTCCCTATCTATTCCTTCAGGTAATCTATTACAATATAATATCATATTTATTCAGCATTCTGAGATTTTCTGAAAAAAACGTTCTTAATAAATTCACTCATCTCACATCTTGAAAATGAAAGTAGAAACACAATTTATTACAAACTCAACCTGTTTCTTGACTTTCTTTTAATGTGTTTTCTTTCCTTCTTCAAACTTTCATTTATGCATTCAACACATTGAGACTTAGTCAAACATAGAATACCTATTCAACAAATATCTAGAGCAAAGTTTACATTTTCATGCAGAGAAATATGAGTTGAGGTTAACAGAAATCCTCCTGAGCAGTGACAGCCTCCATGGCTAAACAGACACAGGAAGGAGCGCCGCCTAAAGAAACTCCAACATCTACAGAACAACTCGTGAGAAGATGTTAAAGCACATCCCATCATGTTTGATTGACAGCTGATCTCTGTGCAGTGAAGACATGAACAATCAGCTCTCAGCAACAATGATGGACACACAATGAGTTTAAGAAGTAGAAGAGTTCCTCAAATGACTTCAGGCTATTTCAGTTTACAAAACTCAGCTGTGTCACAAACCCAAACTCCAGCATGTAGCGGCTGAGTGAAAGTGGTCTGCACTCTGTGGAGGAGAGTCATGGTTTCAGAGACCCTGTAGAAGGACAGAATACCTGCTCTGTGATCCAGGTACACTCCTACTCTGGAGGACCGAGGACCTGAGACGGGAGTTTTTACTTTGTTGTACCAAAAGTATAATTGTTATTGTAAGACTTTAACGTCCAAGATTTATCATTGAATCCAAACAAACATTCCTCCCAACCCCCTGCTCTGATGATGTTCTTGTATGCAACTGCACAAACTCCCTCCCCTCTCCACTCCACTTCCCAGTAACAACGTCCAGTCAGACTTTCTTTACTCAGGACCTGAGGCCATGAAGTGAATCTGTCTGGGTGACTTGAATATATCTGACGTTGACTCGTGAATGTTGCTTTTCTGCCCTCCTCAGTTAATAGCAGCTTTGTGTTTGCAGTGTTTGGATCCAGAGTGATGTCACGTGAATATTTTAATAATTCAGCTCTGGTCTTTGGCTCTGGTGGTGACAGTAAATCTTCCACTTCACTCACCATCAGTGAGATGTTTGTCCATTCCTCTCTCAGGACGTCCTGTAGTTTATCTCTGACTTCTGACACAGTCACTGTCACGTCCTCAAAGTAGCGCAGAGGACGGATGTTGATGCTGGATGAGTGTGTAGGTTCAGCCTATTATCATACTAAAAGGAATGCATGCAGTTATTCAAATTAGCTCTACTTTTACTAACTGCGATAACACACATCAATAATCATTATAGTAACCCAGTAACCCAATATTCTGAAAAGGGCCATTCTGCATAAGGAGTACTTTTACTTTTGGTACTTTAAAGGTAGGGTAGGTAAGTTTGAGAAACCGGCTCGAGATACACTTTTTGTTATATTCCATGGAATGCTCTTAACATCCCGATAGCAATGAATATCTGAAGTGCTTTGACAAAAAATCCATAAATAAATATCATCTGTGGAAGCTGTAGTACTGTAAAAAGCACGACCAATCATCTGAGCCGGCCCGGCTAAAATAACTGGATGGCCTACCTGCCTGTCAGCCTTCCATCTGTGCACAAACTTATCTGGTGCCCTCATTGGTCATGTGCGCGTTCGTGTGTGTTGGAGGAGGGGCTCTGTAAGGAAGTGGCAGATTTTCTCCGGTTGTGTATTTTCAAATTCTAGCGCACTCGAGCTGGTTTCTCCAAAATTACCTACCCCACCTTTAAGTATATTTTTATAACAATGCTTTTGTACTTTAACTTGCAACAGAGTATTTTTACCCTGTAGTATTTTACTTGTACAGACGAAATAAAGTTTAAAGTAGAATAAATACAGTTTAAACTGCTTGTGAGCACTTTAATTAAAACTTTATTCAAAACGCTGGAAGTATCAACATTAGAAACTCAAAGAAAGCCAAGATTCTTCTTTATACTCATTACATTTATCAAAAAGCTATAGTCACTTTACAGATTCAGATTATTATGTCATACACATTGGGATTAGACATATTGACATATAAATATGTAAGATATCCAGCAGGACAGAAACAAAGCTCCTAGCATGAACACTGCACTTGATGGTGTTTCAGGAGGGAAAGTGCTTCAGTTGAACTCTCATATTAGCTTCACATGTTCTCAATCAGCCTCAAAGGATACCCTAAATGAAGACAAGACGACAATACTTTGTTCATTTGGTTTAATAATCAATAATAGTTGCACTGTATGCACATAAAACGTTCACTCGCACTGGTACCTGCAAATCTAAAAGTATATATATTTATTCTCGATCACATATCATTTGCACATCCACCTGATCAGAGTTTAACTCATACATGTTGTGTTTCTTATCCTTGTGTATATCCTCATGTATCCTGTGTTTCTCTTAATCTGTTGCTGCTTTAAAACCTGAATGTCCCAACGGGGATCAATATAAGTCCATGTTATCTTATCTTATTCATCCTGTCAAGTTTGTTCACACATCCCATAAGTAAGTCTATAAAAATGCAATAATGAAATCCACACAATCACTTTGTTTGAGCAGAACCCCAGTGAGTAAAAGAACATAATGAATCATCTCCTTATTGATTATGATCAGGATAATTACAGCTGTATAATATCTCACAATAACAACACATACATGTGAATATAGATTTCTTTAAAAATGCACACAAAGAAAAAACTAAGTACCCAGGACACAGAAGGGTGGCTGCTTTCTTCTTAAAGAGGCCCTATAATGATCATTTTCAGGTTCATATTTGTGTTTTGCTCCTCTATTGTGACATGTTTACATCATCTTGGAATGACCTTCAATCACGCCTTAAACTGAGGGCACTTGTCTCTATTTCATGTTTTAAATTGAAGTTGTCTGAAGTCCTCACCATCAGCTGCTCTTGCAGTAATAAGTAGTGTACTTTTTTTTATTGTCCTAATGTGCACAATGTAGTGACTGCTTTTTCGTCTTTTGTTTTCTTTGTTATGTTCTCTGTATTTTATATGTTTGTGTTATGTGTTATGTGTAACGTTGCTGCCTTCTTGGCCAGGTCAGCATTGAAAATGAGATTTTATCTCAATGTTTTTATCTGGTTAAATAAAGGTTAAATAAAAAAAATAAATTACATGCTTTAATGTTCAAAAATGTCATTATGTTACATAAGTAAACAAAGCAGTCCAATCGAGGCGTTTCAATGTCAGCCTGAAATGAAGACAAGAAGACAATACTTTGCTCATTTTGTTTAATAAGTAATAATAGTTGCACTGTATGCACATACAACTTTCACTGGAACTGGTACTTGAAAATCTAAAAAGGTGTTTCAATGTTTTGATTGACAGTGGAAGAAATGCCACAACTCTCAGCTGTCAGCAACAAACATGGAGTCTAAATACGTTCTAAAGTTAAACAGAATTCAACCTGCTGTCACTTAAAAATCCCAGAACAAATGTTGATATTGTAGGTTTTAGAAAAGCTCCAGATAAAGTGAAGTTAAAGTTTCTGAGCCACAAATATGTTCTAAAATCAGCAGTTTCGTTCTTGCAGGAACACCAAACACAATACTTCTTCATACTTCAGTAACCCTACCTCAGTAGTTATTTTACCCACAAGTTAATTGACTGAACATAATTGCACTACCGAAATCAAAAATGTTGAAACTCAACGTATCCATGGTTTGCAGAAGTGTAGAATGCCAACATTTTACGTGCCGACTGAGCTGGACTTAAATGACTTCTGACTACTTGAGGTTGCAGAACTCAGCAGTGGCTGTAGGAAATACAATATTAAACCGAAGTCCAGCATGGAGCGGCTGAGTGAAAGTGGTCTGCACTCTGTGGAGGAGAGTCATGGTTTCAGAGACGCTGTAGAAAGACAGAATACCTGCTCTGTGATCCAGGTACACTCCAACTCTGGAGGACCGAGGACCTGAGACGGGAGTTTTGATGTTGTTGTACCAAAAGGTATAATTGTTATTGTAAGACTGTAACAGCCAAGATTTATCATTGAATCCAAACTAAACATTCCTCCCAACCCCCTGCTCTGAGGATGTTCTTGTATGCAACTGCTACACAAACTCCCTCCCCTCTCAACTCCACTTCCCAGTAACAACGTCCAGTCAGACTTTCTTTACTCAGGACCTGAGGCCATTCAGTGAATCTGTCTGGGTGACTTGAATATATCAGACCTTGACTCGTGAATGTTGCTTTTCTGCTCTCCTCAGTTAATAGCAGCTTTGTGTTTGCAGTGTTTGGATCCAGAGTGATGTCACGTGAATATTTTAAGAATTCAGATCTGGTCTTTGGCTCTGGTGGAGGCAGTAAATCTTCCACTTCACTCACCATCAGTGAGATGTTTGTCCACGTCTTCTTCAGGACGTCCTGTAGTTTATCTCTGACTTCTGACGCAGCCGCAGTCACGTCCTCAAAGTAGCGCAGAGGACGGATGTTGATGCTGGATGAGTGTTTGGAAACACTGAGCGGTAACAGAGAGGGGTAGTTGAGCAGAAAGTGGGTGTGATCCTCTGTGTGAGAGAGCTTATTCAGCTCAGCGTCTCTCCTCTTCAGCTCCCTGATCTCCTGCTCCAGCTTCTCCTGAAGATCTTTGACTCGACTCACTTCACTCTTCTGCTGGGATCTGACCTGCTGCTTCATAGAGCTCTCTATGAGACGGATCAGCTCAGTGAACATCTTCTGACTCTCATCCACTGCTTTATCAGCAGAGCCATTGATGGCCTCCACCTCCTGCTGAAGCTGCTTCACCTCCTTCTCTCTGTCCTGGATTCCCTGCTGGATGTTTAGTTGACTCCCCTCCAGGTCTCTCTGCCTCTCAGTCCTCTCTGCTGCAGCCAAAACTGTGTCGTGGCCCTTATGGTCATCCATAGAGCAGAGATAACAGATACACTGCTGATCAGTGCGACAGAACATCTTCTTCACCTCCTCATGACGAGAGCACATGCTCTCCTGGAGCTTCTTGGAGGGCTCCACCAGCTTGTGTTTCTTAAAGACAGGAGATTCATAATGAGGCTGGAGGTGTTTCTCACAGTATGAGGCCACACACTGCAGACAGGACTCCAAGGCTTTCCGTTTTCTCCCAGTGCAGACATCACATCCCACATCTTCAGCTCCAGCATAGCAGTGATCAGCAGCAGCAGCTTGGAGTCCAGTCTTCTTCAGCTCCTCCACTAACTCTGCTAGCATGGTGTTTTTCACCAGGACAGGCCTCGGTGTGAAGCTCTGCCTACACTGAGGGCAGCTGTGGATTCGATTCTCATCCTCTCCATCCCAGTGGCTTTTAATACAGTTCATGCAGTAGCTGTGTCCACAGGAAGTCGTCACCGGATCCTTCAGTAGATCCAGACACAACGAACAAGAGAAGGTTTCCCGGTCCAGCTGAACTCCTTTCTGCGCCATTTCACCTCTCAGTGGCAGCGAGTGTCTGAGTTTCACTTCCTGAGAGCTGAAACTATGTGAGCTGTGATCTGAACAGCATGTGTGTGTGCAGTGAATGTGGCTGTCAGCTCTTGTACTTTAGCCACATGTTGGTTACACCCCTCCTCTGGATCTGAAGGGGAGGAGCCAGGAAATACAGAGTGGAGCTGGCTGTGTCTGAGCAGGAAGAAGAGGGAAGGCTTATCAAACTCTGATTCATTCCAGGAGGAGGAGCAGACACTCTGAACTGTTTCCTCATTTACAAACAGAGCCTCGCTTACAACTTGCCCTACATTTGAAAACAGTCTTCAGCTGTAAAATATTTGTTTTAAATTCAGGCTTTTGTAGCACACGGCTCCAGACTCATGGTAGCAGTGGTGTAAGAAGTACTCAGATATTCTACTGAAGTAAAAGTAGAAATAATACACGGTAAAAATACTCTGTTGCAAGTTAAAGTACAAAAGCATTGGTATCAAAATATACTTAAAGTACCAAAAGTAAAAGTACTCCTTATGCAGAATGGCCCTTTTCAGAATATTGGGTTACTGGGTTACTATAATGATTATTGATGTGCGTTATCGCAGTTAGTAAAAGTAGAGCTAATTTGAACTAGAGAATGCAATTCCTGAAGAAATTGCTAGTGGGAATGCTTTATGCTGAAAAGCTGACGCTAAACTGCTATGCTGAAATGTAATGTGTAAGAAGAAAGTGAAGAATTTAGATTGAAATGATGCATGAACACTGGGGGCTTGAATGTGTGATGAGAGAAGTAAAGAAAGTAAAAAGGCTTGGAAAAGCAGCAGAATATTTGAACTGCAAACTTTTGAACTAACTTGATGGCGAATGATCTGTCGCCATGCCAACGGCATTTGATGACATCCCATAATACGCTTAGATGCGTTGATGGCTGCATCGTTACAAAACCTGTGAAGTTTTGGGCCATTTGGAGCATTTTCACTGAAGTTATGAGAAAACCGTGTTTCATGGCGGGCATTGTGTTGCCATGGCAACGGCATGTCCCGTAGATGTCTTCACGGCTGGACTGTTAGCACACATGTAAAGTTTGAGCACTTTTTGAACATTTTCATAGGAGTTAAAGGAACATCGTGTTTTATGGCGAGGGATGCGTTTCCATGGAAACGGCATATGGTGAGATCTCAGATTTGGCGTAGAGCTGTTGAGGCATGGACCGGTGATATACAAGTGAAGATTGGGGGACGATTGGACCGTGTCGATTGGACTTACAGCGACATCGTGTTTCATGGCGAGCATTGTGTTGCCATGGCAACGGCATTTGAAGAAATCTCAAAACTGTCTCGTAGATGTCTTCACGGCTGGACTGTTAGCACACATGTGAATTTTGAGCACTTTTTGAACATTTTCATAGGAGTTAAAGGGACATCGTGTTTTATGGCGAGGGATGCGTTTCCATGGAAACGGCATATGGTGAGATTTCAGATTTGGCGTAGAGCTGTTGAGGCATGGACCGTTGATATACAAGTGAAGATTGGGGGACGATCGGACCGTGTCCATTGGACTTACAGCAACATCGTGTTTCATGGCGAGTGGTCTGTCGCCATGGCAACGGCAACGGCATTTGAAGAAATCTCAAAACTGTCCCGTAGATGTCTTCACGGCTGGTCTGTTAGCACACATGTGAAGTTTTAGCACTTTTTGACAATTTTCATAGGAGTTATAGCAATATCGTGTTTTATTGCAGAGAGAGAGAGAGAGAGAGAGAGAGAGAGAGAGAGAGAGAGAGAGAGAGAGAGAGAGAGAGAGAGAGAGAGAGAGAGAGAGAGAGAGAGAGAGAGAGAGAGTTTGTGAGAGAGAGAGAGTTTGTGAGAGAGTTTGTGAGAGAGAGAGAGAGTGTGTGTGTGAGTATGAAATGAACAGTTAGAACTGACTGCTGTCAGTTGGAGTGATGACATCATCGTGTTCCATTACACAGGTGTTTATAGTTGAGCTAGCGAGCTATGAATAGATCAAAGGCTTCATTGTTCTGAATGAGAGATGAACCTCTTGTGAATGTTTTGTGTAAGAACGATAACAGATATCTGTGAAATTTCAAAACGTGAAGCATGTCAAGGAAGTTGAGTATCTGAAGTGTAATTTTTGTGTACTTTCGGGTTAATAATGTGGCCTTTTTGGCAGTTTAAGAAAGGTGTGCGGCTGCTGCTGTGAGGAAATATCAGCCTGAAATTACAATGGGCTTTAATGGAGACATGTTGAACGTTTTTGTCACTTCATGCCCTCAAGAGGCATTTTGTTTAATTATTTTTTGCTTAATTGTTTGTCATTTTTCAAGCTACGAGATGTTTTCCTACGTTTGTCATGAAATATTATGTCTCAGGAATGTAGGGTTTGGGAATTATGGCAGTTTTAAAAAAAAATATGAAGGGACATTTCAAGATTTCCTACCCTCTAGCTGTGACATCACGCACTCTGCCTTAACGAGCTGCGCAATGTTAAAGTTAAAATGTTAAAAATGTGATGTATTATGGGATGTATCTCTGGAATTATGAAAGTTATGAATGATAAAAGTAAAGCGCCCGATTCCCGACCGAGCTGAACGTTTTGATGTTTGAACGGAGTTTCTGCAATGTTGAATGAGGGAGGAGAAGACGGCCAAAATAACTGGACGGAATAATAAACTTTTTGTCCGTAGCATAACATATAGTTGGAATGCTGAATCAGCATTCCCACTAAATAACTTCATGTCCTGCTGCTGGATATCTTATCCTATAAATAACTGTCAAGGTGTATTTAATAATTGATTTATATTTTGAATTAACTATTAGTCTATATCTAACTAGTAACTAAAAGCTTTGAAATGAATGCAGTGGATTAAAAAGTACAATTCTGTCTTCTAAAATGTATTGCAGTAGAAGTCTAAAGCAGCATAAACTGAGACCTATTGGCATCAACCACTACTTACTACTTACTGCTTACTACTTACTGCGCGTAATGTCCCATTTTAGAATATATATTGAATTACTGAATTATTTCATTTTTTATAGATTCATGTGTTTGTTACATCCCTAATAAGTGTAGGGGAAATGGAGACAGTAGCACACAACAACCAATAACATTTAGAGAGTCAGGGTGAAAGTGAACACAAGTTTATTTATTTACATCAAAGAAAATGCCAACAAATGTTCTTGAAGTGAGGAGACAAAGGAGAGGTTGCCAAATTAAATAAATGAATATAACAAATCTCAAACAAAAAGCCCTCACTATCTGTTCTACTAACAAGGAAACAAAACAACTACAGGGTGCAACAATCTACTAACCTATTGTGTCTAACAGAGTTTACCTACATGAGGAGAGGTAGAGGGAACCCCCAACTCACCCAAATCCTCCCCCTCCCACCTCACATACATTTAAGAATACTAAAAACAAGATGGCAGAATAATGACCAAATCTATCAGAGATCACAAAGAGGCTCTGGAGTCAGCAGCAGGTCTGAGAGAGTGAAGGCTTCCTGGATTGCCTCCTTTAATGACAGGCCCTGGCTACCTGCTTATGTTCACATATGGAAATAAAACACTGATAGAAAAATATAATGTCTTTGATAATTCACTATAACTAAGTTCTAAATGTGTCATCTGTTAAGATTTTGAATGAAGACCAGAATTGAATAAATGAATACATTATTTCTGATAGCAGTATGTGAAATTAAATCTGTAGCTATATTGTAAACTCTACTTGTATCTTATCAGTTCATTAGTTACAAAAAACTCTTCTCTGGTTCTGGCAGAAACAGTTCTTTCTGAAATGTGTTGGGACACTTGGATGTATCCCTTTTAGTATGATAATTAGCTTGTTAGCATTAGCCAGACAGCATTGTGTGACTTGTTGAACTGGTTTACCTGCATGTGTGGGTGTAGGTATTCCTTTTATTATGATAATAGGTTAAGCCAGGTAGTGTTGTGTGTCTTAAGTGTTCAATGCAAATAGGATTCAGATACTTGTTGCATCGGGACACCTGGAAGGGGCGGGGGGGGTGCATGCATTCCTTTTAGTATGATAGTAGGCTAAGCCGGACAGAATGAACACTTGTCCCACCTCCCTATCTATTCCTTCAGGTAATCTATTACAATATAATAACATATTTATTCAGCATTCTGAGATTTTCTGAAAAAAAACGTTCTTAATAAATTCACTCATCTCACATCTTGAAAATGAAAGTAGAAACACAATTTATTACAAACTCAACCTGTTTTTTGACTTTCTTTTAATGTGTTTTCTTTCCTTCTTCAAACTTTCATTTATGCATTCAACACATTGAGACTTAGTCAAACATAGAATACCTATTCAACAAATATCTAGAGCAAAGTTTACATTTTCATGCAGAGAAATATGAGTTGAGGTTAACAGAAATCCTCCTGAGCAGTGACAGCCTCCATGGCTAAACAGACACAGGAAGGAGCGCCGCCTAAAGAAACTCCAACATCTACAGAACAACTCGTGAGAAGATGTTAAAGCACATCCCATAATGTTTGATTGACAGCTGATCTCTGTGCAGTGAAGACATGAACAATCAGCTCTCAGCAACAATGATGGACACACAATGAGTTTAAGAAGTAGAAGAGTTCCTCAAATGACTTCAGGCTATTTCAGTTTACAAAACTCAGCTGTGTCACAAACCCAAACTCCAGCATGTAGCGGCTGAGTGAAAGTGGTCTGCACTCTGTGGAGGAGAGTCATGGTTTCAGAGACGCTGTAGAAGGACAGAATACCTGCTCTGTGATCGAGATACACTCCTACTCTGGAGGACCGAGGACCTGAGACGGGAGTGTGGATATAGTTGTGACAAAAGGAATAACTGTTTGGTTAAAAATTAACGCCCAGGATTCACCCCCTGCTCTGATGATATTCCTGTATGCAACTGCTCTCCCTCTCCACTCCACCTCCCAGTAACAACGTTAAACGTTAACTTTAATTAAAACTTTATTCAAAACAGCCACTGGAAGTATCAA